CCAGAGGGGGATTTAGAGGAAGAGGGGGCAGGTTTCAAGGAGGAAGAACAGTGTGTCAAGTGTGTTGGGTATCTGGCCATACAGCAGATAGGTGCTGGTATAGATATGACTCCAGCTATGTTCCTTCAAATCAGCAACAGCAGCACAACAACTTGGCTTCTCAAAATCACCACAATGGTGGTAGTGGTGGTTTTCAGCATCAAAGAGGTTCTGGTCTTCATTTGGCTCAGCTGCCTCCTCCTTCACCTAGCATTACTTCAGAAAGCAATGTTGAGTCTCTTTGGTATCCAGACTCAGGGGCTACCAATCACATTTCAAATGATCTCAACACACTCACCAATGATGCAGAATATCAAGGCTCCAACAGACTTCACATGGGTAATGGAGTAGGTGAGTCTATCTTTCACATTGGCAATGCTCAGCTCAAATCCCATTATTCTTCTAAGGTTTTTAAATTAAACAAACTTCTTCATGTTCCTTCTGTCACTAAAAATCTCCTCAGTGTTTCTGAGTTTGCCTTAGATAACAATGTGTACTTTGAGTTTCATCCTAACTCTTGTCTTGTTAAGGACCAGCGTTCTCACCAAGTTCTTCTCAAGGGAACAGTTAAAGAAGGTCTTTACCAGTTCAACCTCACAAGCCAAAGAGATTTCCAGCCTTCCTCAGATTCCTTTCAACCAAGTATCGATTCAGCTTCTGCAGTTTCTCATTCCAAGAAGTGCAACATAGAATTATGGCACAAAAGACTAGGTCATGCATCTTATGATGTTGTAATAAGAGCTCTAAAAGATTGTAATATTTCTTTTGATGAAAGTGAAATGAATGACCCTTGTTCTTCATGTTTTTTGGCCAAAGCTCACAGATTGCCTTAGTCTATTTCTGAAACCTTGTGTAGTGAACCTCTTGAACTGATTCACTCTGATTTATGGGGCCCATCACCTGTGAAATCAAGGAATGGCTATCTGTATTATGTCACCTTCATTGATCACTACAATAGATTCACTTGGTTGTACCTACTTAAATATAAATCAGACACCTATAATGCCTTTCTTCACTTCAAAAAACTTGTTGAGAATCAGTTGAATAAAATTGTTAAAAGTATTCAAACAGATTGGGGGGTGAATTCAGATCTCTTAGCAAATTCTTTCTTGAAAATGGAATACATCACAGATTATCTTGTCCTCACACTCCTCAGCAGAATGGATTAGCTGAGAGAAAGCATAGACATGTTGTGGAAATGGGATTATCCTTGCTTGCTCAATCTTCTTTGCCTATGACCTTTTGGGATGATTCCTTTGTTACTTCTTGTTACCTCATTAATAGAGTTCCAACAAAACTACTTTCACACAAGAGTCCTTTAGAAACTCTATAAAACCATAAACCCAATCTGCACATGTTAAAAGCTTTTGGTTGTTTGTGTTATCCTCTTGTTAGACCATACAACAAGCATAAACTGCAGTTTAGATCTGATTTTGGCACCTTTGTTGGCTACAACCCTCATCATAAGGGTTACAAGGTTCTTCTACCCAATGGGAAGTTGATTATCACAAGAGATGTGGTATTTAATGAGAAGGTTTTTCCCTATAAACAAAAACTGCCCTCTTCACCTACTCACACATGTCCACCTAACTCAAACACCAATGCCACTCCTTGTGTTATTGATTTTTCCCATTCTTATGCCAGATCTTCACCACAACCATCAAGATCAAATCAGCCTTCTTCACCAGATACTCCCATTTCATCCCATCACAATACTCATAATTCACCTCAGTCAGTTTCTGCAGGCTCTAGCTCAAACACCACTATTCCCTTGTTTGTTGAGTTGCCAATGATGAATGATAGATTAACTCAACCTATTAACCATGTGAATGATATTGGTGCTACTAATGAGTCTGTTCATCCCATGATTACCAGGTCCAAGAGAGGAATCTATAAACCTAAGGTCTACAGCAGCACAGTGCAAGAACATGAGCCAAGAACACTTGTAGAAGCTCTCAATCATGACAAATGGAAAGCAGCAATGCAAAGTGAGTATACAGCTCTAATGCATAACAAAACCTGGAATCTGGTTCCCTTACCTTCAGGGTGCAATGTAGTTGGGAGCAAATGGGTGTTTAAACTCAAAATGAATCCTGATAACACCATTAGCAAGCACAAAGCCAGATTAGTGGCTCAAGGTTACTCTCAAACTGCAGGCTTTGATTTTAAAGAGACATTTAGTCCTGTTGTGAAACCAACTACCATCAGAATAATTCTTACTCTTGCTGTGAAGTTTAACTGGAGCATAAAACAACTTGATGTAAGCAATGCCTTCTTACATGGAGATTTAGAAGAGAATGTGTACATGAGACAGCCTCCAGGTTTTGAAACACCTTCTGATGGAGAAAGACCTTTGGTGTGCAAACTGAAGAAAGCAATATATGGTCTCAGACAAGCTTCTAGAGCATGGTTTACAAAAATCAAAGGAACACTTCAGTCTTTGGGTTTTAGAAATTCAGTTGCTGATCCCTCTCTTTTCTATAGAACTAGTAAAGGTGTAAAGGTCTTCATGCTCATTTATGTTGATGATATAATTCTCACTGGCAATGATAACAAAGTGGTTGAAGAAACTGTTAAAGATTTGCAGAAGGTTTTTCCTATTAAGGACCTTGGGAATCTGCATCACTTTCTTGGAATTGAGGCACATTATACTGCTCAAGGTATGCATCTCTCATAGCACAAGTATGTTTGTGATCTACTGGCTAAAACCAAGATGGACAGTGCTAAGGAATGCCCCACTCCTATGATTACTTCATCAAGACTTTCAAAGCATATTGGAGATCCAACAGTTGATCAGACTTTCTACAGAAGTGTAGTGGGAGCTCTTCAATATTTAACCATCACAAGGCCAGAGATTTCCTATGCAGTGAATAAGGTAAGTCAGTTTATGTCTTCACCTCTTGATACTCACTGGAAGAGTGTGAAAAGAATCCTCAGATACCTTAAGGGTACACCACATTTTGGGCTACATATCACTAGAGAGAAGGATCTGAGGTTAGTTGGGTTTTCTGATGCTGACTGGGCATGTGATATAGATGACAGAAAATCAGTCACTGGTTCTTGTGTCTTTCTTGGAGGAAATTTAGTTGCTTGGAGCTCAAAGAAGCAAAATGCTATCTCTAGGTCAAGCACGGAGGCTGAGTACAGGAGTTTAGCTCACACTACAGCAGAGGTAACTTGGATACAGTCACTGCTAAATGAAATTGGTGTCCTTTCTGCAAATACTCCCATTATTTGGGTTGATAATTTAGGAGCCATTGCCTTGGCATCTAATCCTATCATGCATGCACGTACTAAGCACATAGAACTTGATATTCATTTTGTGAGGGATAAGGTTGCCAATGGAGAAGTGATGGTTCAGCATGTGCCTTCTTGTGATCAAGTGGCTGACATTTTTACTAAACCACTAAGTCTGCAATTCTTTACTCGGCTTCGAAGTTCATTAAGTTTATGTGATCTCACCTCGTTAGAATTGAGGGAGCCTGTTAGAGAAAATAATAATATGCAAACAAGCTTGGCCCAATATGTCAGCCCAATGTATCGGCCCACATCACACATGACCATGCAAGATCGAGCACGTGAGAATGAAGACAAGAATAACGGCTCTTCTCTGCTCTGCGTACGGCATGCATCTGCGCCCTAGATTAGATGGATAGGTGTAGGATCAAGATCATTCCTTGTACTGAATTATTCTTATCTGATTAGGGTTAGGTGCACTATTTAAGGATGATGTATGGAACAGTAAATGTATTGAATTATTGAGCAAGAAACCGCCTGAACAATGGCAGCTCATTTTGGCATTTCTCTCTTTATGATCTTTGTTTATTTCTTTCAATTAGAACTAGTACGTACCCCGTGCGATGCACGGGATAGAGATATTAAATGAGTTATTTTAACAGGCTCTGTCAGTTTAAGCCTAAAATACAAGTTATCGTCTATTTTTCACCTCTTTTAATCAGCGTTAAGTCTAAAAATTAAACAATAGAGTTATAATGTATTTTAAACATCTTTTTATCGACCTTTTTTTTATCCATAACATTAAATATGAGCATGTTAGGGCTAGCTTGTAAAATAATTAATATAGTATCTCGCTAACACATTATATTAACATAATTTAATTTTAGTTACATATTCTTTCATATAAAAATAATAATTGTTTTACTTATTCTTGTTCACCATATAATACTTAACTTTTATTTTATAAGCTTTGTTGTCATGTCATCACATTATTATTTATAAAAGTCATAGAGGTTGTACGTTTTTTTTTTTTTTTTT